CAACAAACACTGTGGTTTCAACCACTTTTTCAGAGTGGTGATTTATCCATCCACAGTATGGCTTGAGTTTGTTGCGCCAGGTCTCAGTGCTGCGCTTGGCGCAGGAGGATCTGGCCCTGTCACAGGCCGGACGGATCCCGAACATAGGGCGTCTCTTCGTATGTACACGAATATGTGTACATATATATATATACATATGCATATATTCACATGCGTGTATAGATGTATGTGTGTATGTATGTATATATATACACACACACACACCTGTGCGTATATGAACACATGTATAGGTGCATATCTGTAGTTGTAAGTCGTATAGGTTTATGTGTCTATATGCGTTCATCCACATGAGTGTGTTTGTATTGGAATGTAATGTAAGTTAAGGTAATGTAATGTAAGGTGATGTAATGTAAGGTAATGTATATATGTATATACCATGTTAAACCAAATAGGTGTACGTGTCTTGAGGTTGCTTATGTTGGGTGCATCTTCCTCCAAAACCCTTTACATGGGTACCCCTTGCCAGGTGATCGGAGATCTGCTTGTCAGGTTTTTTGTTTTTTTGGGTGAGGGGTGGGGGACAGATCTTCTCCGGAAGCCACGGAGTTAGGCCCGCTTTCTTCTTTGGGCTTCCATTTGAAACCCGGGCGTTGGTCCAAGAAAAGGCGGGTGTGTGTCTGCCTTCCTCCTGTTTGTGGGCCGCTCTTCCTTTCAAACGGCATAGAAACGTGTCATCAGCAAAAAGACATGCTTGCGCCGAAGCTGCGATTCGTACGCACCCTTGGCCGCTTTGCCGCAAATGGGCGTGGATGTTTCAACAACCAACCCCCCCCCACTTGAGAAAACCCAATGGTGCTTGGAGGCTTCTTTCTGGAGAGTTTTGCTTGGCTGGCGTAAAGGTACCTGGGCTTAAACAAGAGCTGGTCCTAAGGACGAGATGTCAGCTTCAGAAGCCATCGATCGCCCATCAAGGAAGGAGAGGCATATCTCCATGGATCACGTGCCCAATTCAAAGGGGTAGATGTTCAATTGTTTGTTGTTCATGCTCGTTGTGCAGACGCCTAGTTTCTTTCTCTTTTTTTTAATCGGGGACTGAGGATCCCATATTACCCAACCCCAGTTTATTAAGGAGTTTTCCCCGCAAAGTGGTCTTAATCCCCACTAAACCCAGGGCAACCCACCCCATATAAATGAACTGGCGTTGATTAATACGAGTATGGTCAAAATCAAACCTCCAGGGAACTGCAGGTGTTCAATCAGCGGTTCCATTTGCCAGGTTCTATGTACTTATGTTTGACCCACATCCATATGGGGTCAACATGAATCAATGCTGACTGCAGGTTGTGAGCTGCTGCTTCGGCGGTCCTCCTGCCACCATCGTGGCAGCCACCAAAGTCTCTGACTCGCCGGGCTGCCAACAGAGATCGCAGCTGGGGGGTCAAGCAAATTGGTTGCCATGCATTGTAGTAACATGATACACTTGGTAATTAGTGTATACACACATTGATATTTTGATATATATATATATATATATATGTAGGTCTGTATATAGATATAATCTTTGCTCTTGATTAATAGGGGGCCCCCCCCCCCCCGGTCCCCCCCCCCCCCCCTACAACAAGCCTGGGTCCAAATTGTGGGGGGGTGGAAGGGGGGAGGGGGGGATGGGAAGGCAGAGAGACAAGAAAGAAGAAAAGTGAAGGGCAATTTAAAATTAAATTGAAGGTGCAGTTTTTTTGTGGAATTCTGGTTTGTAGATGGCATTTATTCTGAGGGGGTTTTATTATTGTAGGGGGTAGTGTAGGCCTGGCAGCTGGTTTGTGTCGCTAACCATTAATGTGAGGGGTGTTATTATTGTAGGGGTGGTGTTTCTTGTGTGCAAGGGGCTGGGCTGAAGCAGTGCAAGCACTGGAGCAGGCAATGGGTGCAGCCATGGAGCAAGACTTGTAGCAAGCAGGATGAAAAGTCTAAGGTCTTCAGTACAAGCTGAGTACTTGGGATTGCAAGTTTTGGTGCTGATGAAGTTTGGGATTTTGGAATTGTTTAATTAGAGCTTTGGGTGTGGGAATTTGGGGGCCAGTGGCTGCAGGGCTTGGCTATTATTCTGGGTAATGCTATTATTGTAGGGGGGCACCGCTTGCTGAGCCTTGCTGTGCAGAAGTCCATGCAAGCATGAAAAGTCTAAGGTCTTCAGTACAAGCTGAGTACTTGGGATTGCAAGTTTTGGTGCTGGTGAAGTTTGGGATTTTGGAATTGTTTGGAGCTTTGGGTTTGGGAATTTGTGGGCCAGTGGTTGCAGGGCTTGGCCACTATTCTGGGTACTGCTATTATTGTAGGGGGGCGCCGCTTGCTGAGCCTTGCTGTGCAGAAGTCCATGCAAGGATGAAAAGTCTAAGGTCTTCAGTACAAGCTGAGTACTTGGGATTGCAAGTTTTGGTGCTGGTGAAGTTTGGGATTTTGGAATTGTTTGGAGCTTTGGGTTTGGGAATTTGTGGGCCAGTGGTTGCAGGGCTTGGCCACTATTCTGGGTACTGCTATTATTGTAGGGGGGCGCCGCTTGCTGAGCCTTGCTGTGCAGAAGTCCATGCAAGGATGAAAAGTCTAAGGTCTTCAGTACAAGCTGAGTACTTGGGATTGCAAGTTTTGGTGCTGATGAAGTTTGGGATTTTGGAATTGTTTAATTAGAGCTTTGGGTTTGGGAATTTGGGGGCCAGTGGCTGCAGGGCTTGGCTATTATTCTGGGTAATGCTATTATTGTAGGGGGGCACCGCTTGCTGAGCCTTGCTGTGCAGAAGTCCATGCAAGGATGAAAAGTCTAAGGTCTTCAGTACAAGCTGAGTACTTGGGATTGCAAGTTTTGGTGCTGGTGAAGTTTGGGATTTGGGAATTGTTTGGAGCTTTGGGTTTGGGAATTTGTGGGCCAGTCGTTGCAGGGCTTGGCCACTATTCTGGGTACTGCTATTATTGTAGGGGGGCGCCGCTTGCTGAGCCTTGCTGTGCAGAAGTCCATGCAAGGATGAAAAGTCTAAGGTCTTCAGTACAAGCTGAGTTGCAAGTTTTGGTGCTGGTGAAGCGTGTTGGAGCTTTGGGTTTGGGAATGGAACTGAGCACTTCTGAAACTCAAAGACAACCCCCAGAGCTGAAAAAAAGCCAAAGCCACCACAGCAAGAGGAAAGGAGCCAGCACAAGGAAAAAGACGCCACCAGGAATTCAACCTAAGACCTTGCGCTGTCGGAGGCAACGCCTTATCCATTGCACCAAAGAGATCTGTCAACCAGGCGGCGCGGGAAGGGATTCTGCTTGATCTGGCCCCCCGCTTGTCCCTTTGCTGTGGGGCTGTCTGCCTGAACTCAGCAGGCTGGCTAGGTCAAGCAACCCCAAGCTGGCCCTGCCACACCTGGAGCCACAGGCAAGGCCACAAAGTGCTGGGAAGCGCACAACCTCCAGGAGCAAACAGGTCTCCAAAACTGGCACTGCCACAGTGGAAGCTCACCGGAGCAAAAGGCAGGACAAGTGCCCGATTTGGTTTGCCACACCAGGGGAGCTCACTGAAGCCACGGGCCAGGCAGCAAGTGCTGGCGAAGCTTTCCAAAGCAGCCCTGTCACACCAGTGGAACCTTGATGGGCCACAGGCAAGGCTTGCAAGTGCTGAGGAAGCAGCAGGTTTCAATAAACAACCCAAAGCACCCAACACGTGTCCAAAGCAGCCTGGCACACCTCGATGGGCCACAGGCAAGGCTTGCAAGTGCTGAGGAAGCAGCAGGTTTCAATAAACAACCCGAAGCACCCAACACGTGTCCAAAGCAGCCTGGCACACCAGTGGAACCTCGATGGGCCACAGGTTGTCCAAAGCAGCCTTGCCACACCAGTGAAAGTTCACGGGACCACCAGGCGAAGGCTTCTGGGAAGCACCAGATACAACAAGTCTCCAAACTGGCACTGGAAGTTCGCTTGGCCTCCAGGCAAGGCCGCAAGCGGTGGGAAGCAAAATTGCTCCACCACATCAGCAGAAGCATTGTTACAGGCCCGGCAAACTGAAGGAAGGCGCAGGAGAACTGAGCACTTCTGAAACTCAAAGACAACCCCCAGAGCAGAAAAAATAGCCAAAGCCACCACAGCAAGAGGAAAGGAACCAGCACAAGGAAAAAGACGCCACCGGGAATCGAACTCGGATTTTTTTTAATTCCGGGGGGATTTCTTGTGTCAACTGGGGCACCAAGACTAAACTATGTATTTGCTAATTAAAAATAAGTATTGGATTTTTTCTGGCCCGGGGCGAGAAAAAGTCATTATTCCGGGGGATTTATTAATCAAGTCCTAAGATTATATCTTTCTTGGTACTCTTGCCAAAGGATCATCCGTTGGCGTAACATGGGGAACCTGGGGTGGATTTTGGGTAGATTCCTTTGCCCGCTTTGCTTAGGGCTCCCTAGATTGTCAGTTTACGGGGTGGCTTACGACACCATGGGCGCCAACCTTTTCAGTGAGCTCGCCCTGAGTGGGGAGGTCTTCTGCGGGCAGAAAGGTTCAACATTTGGTTTAGACAACCACACCCGGTGTTGTTTTTGTTTCCTTCTAAGGGCAGCCCAAAGGAGGATGTGAAACAACAACTGATGCTGCAAGGCACAAGTGATAGGGCGCAAAAAACGATTATTTCCTTTCCCATGATTTCCTTGAAGTCCGCCTTGAGTTCTTATGGGGGCTCCTAACATGGTCTCAAGCGCGCTCTCGTGTTGTCTGTTTTTGCGGCATGTTTAGGAGGCATTTGTCTGGTGACCTAACTTGTTCTTAAACAATGAGTATGTGCAAGTGTGAGACGCGTGTCGAGTGTACCCTTACATATTTGTGAATTGCACTGGGGAACCTCCAAAGCGGTTGGACATCAATCCCCGAATTCCATTGTCCAGCAGCTTCGATCGAAGTCTCTACACCCAGTTCATCAGTGGACGGGCCTGTTGATGTTCCTTTTGGCTCCAGGTGTTTCCAATTGGTCCGGTGTCATGGTGTCACGTTTCTCTTTAGTTGGAATGCCCGGGGTGCCCAGAGTCCACTCAGTTGCCCTACTCTGATTAGCTGTTGCGTGTCCGTGTTGGCACTTGTCTTGTTCGGACTCGGCATCCTCCGCAGCTGGCATATGCATACAGCGCAGCCACAAATGATCATGCCCAAACCTGTGTGTTTCATCAGGAGCCGGGCACATGCGTTCTAGGCAGCAACGAGATGCACCGGTTCAGCTTTCCAGACAGATGTTCAAACAGATCAGAAGCCAACATGTTTCATCTTTGCCTTGATGGATTTGCTGCAGCTATTGAGACGTGAAGAAGTAGGTGAATCGCTAGAGCGTTGCTTCCGGGGACTTGGCCCCCAACAGTTCTTGGGCAAATTGTGTGTGTGTGTGTTTGGGTGTGTCCCTTTGCAGCCAGCAGTCTCCCGCCCTCCCAATCTATGGTATCTTGGCATAGGGATGCCAAGCTTGGAGCCAATGGGTGATCCCCGAATTGAGGGTGAGCCCCTAGGGCCTTGAGGAAAGCTTCGTTCTTGGTTCCCTAAAGGGTAGTGCCAGTAGCTAGTGCTGGTGTTAAGCTTGTTTGGACACCTGGTTAAACAACTTCCCACTCTAAAGGCGGCGTTCCACTTGCTTGAGTATTTTTGTTGCATTGTCCCCTGGTTTTGGGGAATCTGTCGCTACCGGGCATATGTTTATTGCCAGGGCCTTAAGCAAATGGGTGTGGCTCAACGAATAAGAGCCAACCGCAGGTTTTAGCCTTCTTTGCAATTTACCGGGCAACCCGCATCCGACCACCCATTAGAGGGAAGCTGAATTAGGGGCAATTGTTCATTCCTCAAAACTGGGCAATACGTACCGATTTTTGCCTCCCCAAAACTGGGTGGCCGCTGTCTCGTGGGGTCGGGGCTCCGAGGCTCTACCAGTGCAAGACGCCGCCCTGGCCACAGACGCCGGCGGAGGTGAGCGTAGGAGTGGCCCAGGCCGGTGAAGATGGGAGACGGGAGACGGGAGAGTGAACAAATATGGGTACTTGAAGCCTCAAACTCAGAAAGATGGGTGATTGCCCCAATCAGATTGCTTTTTTCAATGGTAGTTTGAGTGTGTTGTGAGGGAACCACTTTTTAGGTGCGTTTGAAGGAAAACCAACAGGAAAATCCCCGTTTGGTGGTCAAAATATGGGGACCACCACAATTTGCGTGTTTGGTAGGTCAAAATCTAGGACCCCCCCCCCCAGTTTCGGTTTGGTATGGATCCCAGGCCGGCCCCAGCGTAGGAGACCACTCGCCATGTTCAGCATGTGGTTTTGGAAGGCCGGACAACTCCGGGCGATGTTCCTCAGGGTTTGCCCTTGACATGAAAACGGGTAGCCTCGAAAAAGTCAGAGCCCGGATGGTTGAAACTGTTGGTTCAACCGTGGTGTTCAAACAGGTTCAAACCAGGACTGACTTGAGCGGATGCTCCGAATTTCAATGATCTGGGACCCAGAAGCAGGACAAACGAAGACCAACACCTGTGGGCAAGAACCGGTCTCCAGAGTCTTCAGGTTCAATTTACATTTTTGTGTTGTTCCCGTTGTTCCCCGAGGGAATCAACTTCACGCCCCCCTTTGCCTATCACCTAGTTGCCCAGTGGTGCCCTTTGTTCCTTTGTTTTTGGGAAGGCTTCCCTTTAAACTCAACCAACAAAACAAGGATGCCTTGTTTTTTTTCCCCTGGCCACTGGGAGTTTGAGATCATGTGTCCACCTTGTTCTTCGTGTTGTTCTTCTCGACTACATGTCTTTCCACTCGCCTTCCTTTTGGAGGCAGACGGACGCTGTCAGAGCGCACCATACGCGAGCTTTCGGTACACCGAGCCAAGGCCTGAGTGATCTCCTCAAGGGGCCGAGAGATACAATGGGACCACCAACTTGGATCTCGTGTATGAAATCTTTGGTGCATGTTGCCAAGGGATGTTAGGACTTCAACTTTTTGCCAACCAATGGGTTGTCCATTAAACCACGAACAGTTAAACTTTTAGCAGGGGAACAGAAAGCAACCGAGAAATGAGGTTGCAAAAGGCTGGGTTCACCAAATGGCTGTGGTGGTCAAAAATAGGGTAACCCCAAAATGGGTAAATGGAAACATGCACTACAACCTGCGAAAATGGCGCTGAATGTCGCCAGGGTCTAAATTGTTTGTTGAACCATTCCCCACTCGCACGGTGAGTACGTACCATTTGCTCCGAAGCTCTTATTGTACCCCAATAACAGTGTATCAAAACCACAGCCATCCCGCGGAACGGTTGTGGCACGTGCCAGTTTCCTTCAGCCGATTATTTTCACGTCCGTAAGTTTGAACACACACACACACACACACGCATGCGAAACAAACAGACCGTCCCTCGAAAAGGCATGTTGCTCATCTTGGAATGTATGCCTTTTGCGAAGGAGCCTAACCACTGTCACCCCAAGCAAGCGGCTACTGAGAGGAGCCTCACAGCTGGTGTTGCGGGCTATCACCTATGGCCAAAAACGGCCCGAGTGGGTATGGGTCAAGATCAAAGCATCAACGGACCGCTGGTTTTTGCCTTTGTTTCCATCCAGGGCAAGCCATTCTGGGCTCCTATTTGTGACCCACACCCAAAGCTGTAAATTCTTCAGGGCAGCTGGTGTTTGCGGGGCTTGCTTTGCTCTTGCTTGCCTGCTTGCTAGCACCTATGGCCACATTGGCCCGAGAGCGGGATATGACGCATTCCCACTGGGCCCATTGGAAAGCTGAGTTCGCCGAGGCAATGGAGACTCACCAGGGTTTATCCCATGGAGTTCGATGAGAAGCAGCAGGCGGAAGGCGGAGTCGCGGCTTCTTTTTTTTCTATTCGGAGGAACCCAAGTCCGATTTGGCCGGGGCTTTCCAAGGAAAACATTGGAGGAGATCAAGCAGTCAACAAGTTGAACCCCTTGCATTTGCTGAAGAATGTTTGTCATTTTTCCCTATTGGTTTTGAAGGGAACTTATCACCATTTTTTTCCAGGGGGGCCCTTTTTTGGTTGGTGGTCAAAGGAACACAGGAAAGATTGCTTGCTGGCTCTCAAGTGAGTCGGAGCCCCCAAACTGTAGGCAAAAATGATCTACGCACCTCTGGGCAGCTGAAAGGAGTGAACTGAGAAACTCCCAGCTTCAACCAGAAGCACTGGCCAAACCCTGCCAGGGCCACGCCTCTAGTTTTTTCAGGTCCTAACCTCCAGTGTGTTTTGCCAAGCGGCCTTTTGGCAGCACTGTGGCCAATTTGAGGTTCTTGTAAAGGGGACCAAAGGGAAACCACTTTTTGTTTCGGGTGGGATGTGACCCCATAATGTTGGGGCAACTTCCCTTTTTCAAGTGTAGTTTGAGGAGCTAGGAAACTCTGCCCAAAGGACCCGGAAATGCAAGGTTGACCTTTTGGGGCCATGACTAAAAATGGGAACCCGCAAAGTTGGAAAAACCGCAAGGTCAAAAGGTCGCTTTTCGACAAGTGAGTCCTAGGTCTCAAACAATGGAACTCTGAGCTGATTTTTCAAAATCTTCGCGCCTTTTGCGGGTGCAAGAGCAAAGTCTGTCTGAGCCAAGCTTCCGATCGCTTCGGACGATGTCTTCTCCCAGAGTTGTGAGCCCGGCGAAGTGGCGATTTCTCGAAGTTTTTTGGGGGCCAGGAAACACTCACCTGCCTTTAAAGGACCTCGAACCAGGAGAACCAAAAGGTCGACTCTCACCTTGCCCAAAGGACCTGGAACAAGCAGAACCAAAAAGTCGAAACAAGTCAAAGTTCGACGGGAGGAAAAAGCCAAACGGTCGACAAAAGTCGAAATTTGCTTTGAGCCCGCCTCGAACCAGGAGAGCCCAAAAGGTCCAAAAAAGTAAAAAGTGCCCGGCGCTTTTCAGATTCTGGCAGGTTTCAAGTTCTTCGTCTCGGGGGAGAACTTCCTGCAGTCCAAGTCCGCCCTGTGCCGCCTCGGCGGGCCCAACGGCGTCCTCGCAACCGCCGAGGCAAAGGGGGTTAAAGGGAACCGCCAAAAGTGGGCGTCTGGAGGGTACCTGGATACCTGGACCCTCAATCCACCCCCAAAAATGGGTCCTTGCCCCCAACACTTTGTAATTGATTTCTTTTTTTGGTGTAGTTTGCATTTCCAGGTACCCTTTTTGGCATAGTTTTTTTGGGGGTCCCAGTTGACACACACACACACACAATGGGCTGGATTTCCCTTTGCCAAGGACACCCTTGAGAAATGGCGCCGAAAAGCCTCGTGGAGAGTCACCCATTCCGGTGAGGGTCGGCCACGTTTCTATCTGGCTTCTACATCACTTTTGGTTTCTGGGAGGGCTGATGTTTCACGCATATCATATACGGACCCGAGTCAGGTCATGCTATAAGATTCCTTCACGCACATGACCCAGACAGACAGAGGTGTTTCAGCCACTGGTGTCCTTTCAGGTCGAACTTTGGCTGATGGCTGTTCATTTCCTGCATGCCATCCACGTTTTCCCTTCAACCCCAAGGATGGGTTCGCAAGGCCTAGGGTTAACCCCCGCGAAACCCTGACAGGTGGTCCAAACCAACTTCACACTGCTGTGCGCTGTGCCGCCGGGTGGTTTCACCTTAGCACGTGCCCCGGAGCGCTTGCGAACTCTCTTTCGCCTTGCGTTTGTTGCGCAAAAAGCATTCGAATGGGTTGGTCTTCCTTGCGTTCATGCAGGGGTCTTGCTGTTTTTCCTCTTGGCTTTTTCCAGTATTTGCAAAGGGCTGAGAGAGTTTCCATTGGGGTCGGGGTGATGTTTGGAACATTTTGGGAACCCTAGGGGTCCCTCTTAGAGCGACTCAATTCAGAAGTCCATTCCGATGGCATTTTTATGATCGCCCCGCCAGTTGGCTCATTTGATGGAACCCCTGCGTTATCGGGTTATCGGGGAGCGGCTTACACGGTGCATGGTACTTGATGTCTGCGGCTTGAACGGCTGCGTTCAGACGAACACTCTCGATGTTGAGACCGGCGCCTATCATTGTTTTTCTTAGCTGCAGCGCTTGGGTTGACTTGAGCAAAACACATGGTTGCGATTTCAACCAAAAGGCTTGGGAACCTGTTTCTTTTTCCTCCAGAACCAACTCAATGGAGGTTAGCGTAGCTATCGGCCATGACCACCAATGGCCTTACTTATTGGAACCCATGGCTGGTGTTTTTGGTCGATGGAGTGAGCCGGGATCGGCGCAACGGAAAAGGTTCTAGAATCGGGGAGGTTCGATTCTAAAAAGTGATGGACCCCCTATCGGCTGGTATTCATAGGGAGATTCAGGGGATCGATTACAATTTGTTGAGCAACACTCGTAGTTTTCAGTTGCTATCAGTGGATGCTGCATTCGCAAGTCTGCGAATCTGAATTGTGACCGGGCGACCACTGCTTTTTGTTGGCCAGTGAAACGAGGGAATTCAGGCCATGCTCCACGAGAGTAATCCTCAAATCACAACATATCACAACGCAATGCGGTCTAATTACGTAGTCTTTTGGACATGTTAGAGTTGCTAACTTCCAGAGACTCCCCTGAAGCTGATAGAAGCTCCCTAGGGCGTGGTATACTAGACACCTGTGTTCTGGCGGCATTTGAGTGGGACAGGTGGAAGACAAAAGGTCGGGTGAGGAATTTCATGGTTGTTGTTGGGAAACATTTTACACTTTTGCTTATTGTGGTTTAGTGGTTGAAACCCCCACTTGACCGCAAAAAACACATTTTTTGCTCCCCTTCCAACGTCAACCAAGGAATGTTCTCAAAGTGGATCGGCTCCTTCCTTGTGAGTGGCTTAGGCGTCGTCTCCAGAGGGCATGACTTATGAGGTCGAGGCGCGCGACAATTCCCGGGGCTATGGGCTCATGTGTTCATCGCCCATGCGGAGCTCAGTGAGCATGAATACCATGTAACAAAGGATTGGTGGAACTGACGTTTCTTGTTCAATATATGGGTGTGGCCCAAAATTAAACAGGAGGGGTTACGCAGGTGTTGGTCCATGTTTCCACTTGCCAGGGCAACCCATTTTGGAATTCCGGTTTTTTGAGCCTAAGCCATATACATATATATATACACAAGCAACAAAGCCAATACCATGAACACAAGCACGTAAATATGTTTGTTTTTGTGCCCCGGCACCCGTGTCGTCCATCGTCTCTACGCGGGGCCGCTGCTGCAAGTCAGGGGTGGCTGAAAGAGATCAGCTGATACCCCAAGCTTCCAGCGACCGACTCCCAACAAAAACTGCTTCTTGGGCAGTTAAAGGGGAGTTTGCGATTTGGGGAAAAAGGCTGTTGAAGGGCGCGGGCGTTCCTTTGCTTTCAGCTTCGTCCCCATGGTTCACCGGTGCTTGGGTTTGCCTGAACCTCCCGGGGCGCTTGCGCCGAAGGCGAGTGGATTGGTCCTGATGGTTGGGTGGCTGCAAAATGGCCCGTGGTTCTCTTGTAAGACTTGGAGGCCTGGCCAGTGCATATTCCATCTTAGACATGGGTTGTGGATGCCAACAGGCTGAACTCTTTGGAAACCTAAGGTATCCGATACTGTGGACCAACTCCTGCACCAAATTGAAACCATGGTTGAAACCACGACGTTTGTTGGTATTTACAAGGGAATCGATTCTTTCATGGTTTCTGAACGCTGCGAAATGGGTTTCGCAGCCAGTAGATCATCTGCAGCTTCGGGGGGGAGAGCCCTCTCTGGCCGGTTGCTTTGCGCATAGCTCTCGCGCGCCAGGTGGCTATGAACGGCCAAGACTTCGTGGGCGGCACTCCACCAGTCCGGGGGCCGATTTGCCCGACAGATGTGGGTGTGGGTCAAAAGTAAGCCACCAGGAATTGGACCGCAGGTAGTCCAAGTTTCCACTTATCAGGGTTCCATTTTGGGTACATGTTTTTGACCCACAGCCATGTGTTTCGAGGCTTTTGTTGTTCAGAAGTTGCACAAGAATATCCTAGGTCCAGTGGTGCCCTGTTACCCCTTTTTTAGGGGGGAGGGTTCCTCTAATAAAATAGGCCACAAAAGAAAGGTACCCTTATTCTAACCTGTCTACTGGAGGACCTAGTATCATTTAAACCAGCTATTTAGAGGAGCTCAGAACTATGGCACCTTCCCACTTGGTCTGGTTTCAGTGCTGAAAGTTGATGCAAAAGGAGATTAATTGTTCGATCCCTTAGTACATCAATCCAGATTAAGGGGCTCTCAGTCATATGACATACTAGGTCCACCAGTAGTGCCCTTTTACCCTTTTTTAGGGGAGGGTTCCCCGACTAAAATAGATTATATACCGAAAAATGGGTTCCCTAACCTCTCTACTGGAGGACCTAGCATATGTAGAGCCTTTTGGACCCCTCCAGGAAGAGTTTCACAAGGAACTCCAAAGCAAGCCCCTTCATGGAGTCTGAAGCAATTGGCGCAAGCGTGCTGAAGCAGAGCGACAACACACCACAACCGCCAGCATATTTGATCATACCCTTGGTTTGCCCCGCGGGTGATCGTGCAGGTTGCCACTTCACGGTATTCTGGGTATCTCCCAGATGTGGTGTGCAAGTGACGCAAGTGTATGTCGCCGGGCTTTAGCGCAAGGGGTCCAGAATATTTGAAAGGGTTCTGTATGCATGCACTTGATGCCTCCGAGGTAGAACTTGAGCCATGTGTTTTGTGTTTTTTTTCAATGAGTTACCATTTGATCCTGCAGCTTTGAGGGATTTAACATGAGTTGTTGCTCAACTTCCTTTGCCAGCCTGAACTATGTGCCGAGTTCATGTGTTTGCACTGAGCAATCAGACAATCAGGCTTCGCGAACGGGGAGCGTTTTCTCTTTTCCATGGGTACGTATGTTTTTTGTTTTCCAAAAAGGAGCCCCAAAATGGGTGGCTTTCTTTTGGCTTCCTCAAACACAAACCCATCCTTTGGAATCCCAAACAGGGGGTAGGTACAAGGGGGGGTAGTTGAGAGCTCTAGGGTTCATTTTGCACCAAACCCCAAGGGCCCTCCAACCCCCAAGCAGTCTAGGGGTAACTTTCCCATTCTTTCCAGGGATCCTTTCTAGAAAACCACCACAAGCCCTGGGGAAATGGCGATCGGTTTTGGAAAAGAACGATGGCAGAAAGGAATGGAATTGGAATCCACCGCTAGAAGCAGGGCGCTCACTCTTTGAGGTCTTGGTGCGCTTTGTGACCTCTACCTCGGTGGTTACGGCACGGGTCACCCAGAGCTTTGGGAGACAGCGGTTGCATGAACGTGGCGAGAACCCCAGCCATCCGGTGCCTTGGCTTTTGTAGGATCTTATTTGGTTTAGTGGTTGTCCATTTGTGTCCATTTAACCCACAAGAGTTAAGCTTTTCGCAAGGGATCTGAGGACCCGGTTGTGTTGAGGTTTCTTAACCTTGAGTTACAACCAAAAAGGGGTCCAAAATGGGTCATTGTCCGTATGAATCTTCCAGGCGTCCACACACATGCGACGCATTATGCATACAGGTTCACAGACATGGCACACATCATGGATCTCTTATGGTGAAACCGGTGCATATTTGTGAAATTGATTGGCTAGTACTGTACCTAGGTCCCCCAGTAGTGCCCTTTTACCAACTTTTTTGGTTGGGAGGCTTCCCCTACTAAAATCGACGTCCAGAAAAAAGAATCGGATACCCTTCTTCGAACCTCGCACAACTGGAGGACCTAGGTAGACGAACACTCCAGCAGGCCACAGCCAGGTACCTCGAGTTGCGTCCGGCGTTTGCCGTTTCGAGGTTGAGCCGTCCTGGGTCTCCGCGTTGGGGAACCTGCCCTTGGCCGTGAAAGGCCGGGGTGCACCACGTCTGACAGGGTTCCCTCAGAAAAAGGGGGAAGAATTGCAGGGTTCCCCCAACTTCCGGGTTTCCTCGGAATTTTCAGGGTTTCTCTCTGCCGTTTCCCTTTTTGGAACCTCCAAAAGTGAAAATCGAGCGTTTCAGCGAAACCAGTAAGTTGATCAGCCTTTGAAGGGGAAGTCCGGTGACCCTCAGTTTGAATGACCCATTGGGCACAAGAGTGTGCTGGACTTTAGTCACTTGGAGAAGACAAGTTAAGTGGCAAGAATATATCCATTTCGTCAAGTTGCTTGGCCAATGTGCTCAGGACGCGAGTTACTGGCTGATGAATAAGGAATC